TGTGAACGCGGGCCAGTCGGGTGAGAGTCACTATGTGGGCACCTTTCTCTTATGTATTTAACTGGCTGGTCTGGCTGTTTCCTGTGCCAACTATGGGGAACCTCAGCTCACCGTTTGTACCACCTGTTGTGGGCTGAGTCACATCATTTTGGGGATGGTTGGGGGTGGCGTCGATCATGTCCAAGCTGGTTGACCTGTTTGTACCCCCAGTGATCACTCATATCATAACGGTTTTGTCTACAATACAGTCTGTGTATTGGTTTCTCTTCCTGCTGGTGCTATCATTTTTGTTGGGCCTGGTCATTGGCAAAACAAATGCAGATGCTATTTAGCCAGGACCAGGAGTACCATAGTTCATCACCACACCTGTAGATTTTTGTTGGCTTTGTTTACTTCAGAATAGATCTAGGGAAATAAAACCCACTCAATTCTCTGAATAAGGCACATTAGGAAGACAAGGTTATATACTTTTCAGATGATTTGCTTTGCATGGAGAATCATAAATAAATAAATACTCTTGTTTTAAAAATATCTGTGGAAAACCTCAAGATGGAGGACCCAATCCAAAATCTGTAAAGGAAAAAAAAAAGCTTATTTTGAAAGTAATGCTACATGGCTTTGAGTAACCATGGAGACCAATGCTTTTCTGATGCAGAAATAAATGAACTCAACCTTTTCATATTTATTAGTGGGACTGATGATGAAAGATAAAGTTGAATTAAAATATAAAGCACTGTAAGAAAGCCCTAGTCAACATCTCAACCCCTGCAATGCAGGTTTTTGTAGCAGATTATTACAAATGGTTTATGAAAGGAACAAAATACTCTTTGTTATACCAACCTGTTTATCCAAATATCATCTTCTTTATTAACAAATGAAGAATCTGTACACACAACATATTCCTCAAATCTTTCCATTCTGATAAAAATTGAAATAAACCTGGTTTAATACCATAGCAGTGTATGAAATATATGTACTACAAAATGGTAAACTGTTTACTGAAACTGTGGTAGTGGATATTTGAAACCTACTAATTTCTTGGTGGTAAGAATGATAAAATTTTCCTGTAAAAATACTGGGTGAATATTCAGGTTTCTATCTTGAAAATACATGTCAAAGGGTCAAATATTAATTGGCAAGTTCGTGCTACAGAAATGTTACTGCTGAACAGAGGATGACAGCATTAAATGTCCCTTGAACTTTCATTAAGATTAAAACCTTGTGAAATAAAACTTCAATGCAGATATTTCTGCAACATCATGTAAAAGATTTGGAATGAGTAGAAATCCCCGTGTAGATAAAGGGTTAAGTCACAGCACCCAAATGAAAATGCTGAGATCAAGTGTCTGATGGACTGGATAGAAAACGGGGAGTTTAGCAGAAGCTGCCTGTCTGTCCCTGCTGGAAAATAACTGGTTAGACTGGAGGAAAGCTGAGTGGCTCTACCTGCACTTCAAGCAGCGACAGGGAGGAGTGTACTACAGGAACAAGGAGAAGTGTTGCTGAACCACGACATCTCTGCTGCAGGTCAATGCAATGAACAGTGCTTCAAAGTAACGGTTATTACAAGCCCATATGAACATGCATGGAAAGAAAGCGTCATATAAATTGCAGCTACCTGGAACAATCTCAGACTGTCCTTGCATGTCTCAGGTATTCAGCAAAGTCAAATAACAGATCAAGGCAGCCAAGAGCTTCTGTTGCACAAAGCTGTCTCCTGTCTAGAAACAATGTCTATGCTAATAACCTTCCACTTAATTCTCAACTGTTACAACCTGCACGTTTCAGATTGTGTTTAGGGTGGAAAAAACCCTTCGCTTTGCTTCAATTCACGGACACTGGCTGAAACAAATTCTTTAGAGAGGCATCTTAATGTTAATGGTCTTTCTGCTCTGTTGTGCTGGCCAAAGCCTGGACAGGCTAGTGTGCTCTCAAGGGCTCACACTGAATACAGCAGAATTCAAATGTCAGCTTGAGCTGACTGCTCTGCAAGCAGAGCTGGCATGTTTCTAGAGTTCTGCTATGGAACTTCAGTAACGTATATAAAAACTGGGTAACTTCCATGTCCTAACATTGTAATGCTGTGCTATGTTAAGATTACACAAACTGGGCTTAAGGTTCCTCCAATTTTATTGGGCTGTTTACCTCTCCTGCTTTTTGACTTCCTCAAAAATGTATGGTTAGCCTCAAATCTACAAAGGAATTCTTGCCTAGGCTAAAATCCAGATCTGAAAAATAACTTGTTTCAAACACTGGAAAGTTTATGCCACTTAAGACAACCACAACCCAGCCTCTTGATATTCTTGGTAAGACAGACTATTTTTGTGCAAGACTTTTAATTTAATCACAAGACAAAATGGTATTTCCTATAATGGAAATTTCTGGCAAATGAAGCACTTCTAAACAGTTCCTATTTTACAGCGTTACTGTTCACTTGCTATAGTAAACAAGAGCTCGGAACTTGGAAGTGTGAATTTAAATATAGCATTCACTAAATTAACCTTGCCAGATAATGAGAAAGATTTATGTAGATTCACAAGATACCAAATTTATTTCATTGCTTAGCAAAGGCTGTTGTACTACTATTAAACTATTCTGTTTTGGTTTTTTTTTTTTACATTTTTAAAAAATGTGTAGAATCCCTTTAAGTCTAAAAGAAATTACACGAATTCTGAAATGTCTTGTTTTCAGACAGCAGCCTCCTGTGAAATAGAGCAGCAGACAGAGGAAGAAAGGACCATAACCAAGCTTTCTTAGCAAGGCATAACCTTCTCTAAGACTTCAAGTGCCTGGTTTTGTTGAGAAAAAGATTACTAGCCCATGGACAGCTGTAAGTGGTAGTTAAACTCTCAGGTGACTTACTGAAAAGTTATTTTTAATGAAATGGTTCAGAAAGCCTGCTAACAAAATGAGTTGAGGCTCAAGTTTTCTTTTAAGGCAGAGCAGCACAAGCTGCTCTTGCTGATGTAAACGTTAAAAGTATTTTTCCTGCATTGTTCTTAAAATGTATCTTCTGCCACTTGAGTGCACAACTGGAAGCCAGTCCAACTTTCACTCCGAGGAGTTAAAAAAAAAGAATAAAAGTATGTGTCCCTTGTGGGGGGGGGGAAAGACCAAGACAAATCTAAACCATCTTCACCTAAAGATAACTGTTTTCAGGCATCACTTCACAGACGTAATTACTTCAACAAAACCCAGAAGTGCTCATCCCAAAGAGTGGCAGCAGCACAAATTAGTTACAGAATATGAGAGCACACACATATTCTTGTCTTAGGCTTACACAGTGGCTTGTTTGTTATACTAGTATGAAGTACTAATATTTCATACTAGTACCAACACTGCTAGGATTAAAATTTTCTCAAGCTGGCTCTGAGATAGTTTTGCTGTTTAGAATGCTGAAGAGCTCAGAACTATTTCCTCCTTCACAACATTAATGAAAATTTCACAAGTCAGTTTATTTCTTCCATTAAAAAGTAGGTACTCTGGTATTTATAAGACTTGTAGCTCTAATTAAGGGTAGCTTATTTTGTTCTCATCACAATTTTTGTTATTTTGTTCTCGTAACAATTATTCTCTTCAGTAAATTATCTTGATGAGGTTTTGGTTGTGCAGCTGCCTGTTGTACTGCACACCTGCCACAACGCAGGACTGCCTGGACCAAACTGGTGACAAATTTTAACAAACTGAATTTTTTCTTTAGTAATACAAGTACTTTTTCTTCAAAGCCAGAACACGGCTGTAGCTTGCAAGGGACACTCCCTCATGTTTCCAGGGTAAGTATTCAAACACCTTTGCTATTCTTTACCCTCAGTACGCAGTGCTTCAGAGACGCAAGGCATGTCTGGGTAACTTTTTAGTATGTGAAAGTGATCTCCATTCATGTAAGCACAAAGGGATGACAAATACAAATAACTTACAGACCTTATTTCTCCAGGATGCAGAACAAGCAAATCACTACAATTCTATTTATAAATTAGTGTTCTACAATGCTAAATACAAATTCAGCCCAAGTTAGTTTTGTAGGATTTTCAATATCCTTGAAGAGATCAGTAAGAAAGTACTATACAGACATGCCCCAGAAGAGTTGTGGAGCACTTTGGGGGAAAAAAAGAACCAAAACAAAAAAATCAAACCAAAGCAGGGAAAGAATGTAGCACTTGCATGTAATAAAACAAATATTTACATTAAGCACAATACAGCAATTTATTTAGATGCTTAAATGAAGAATACAAAGGGAAATAAAGATCACAAAATTATACATACTACAACAGTGTGTCATATATTAGATGGTATAAATGAATACAACACCTTGTTGGTGTTAACTAAAGATAAAACTAAATATCCAAAACACAGCACTTTTGTTTCAGTGTGCTGCTTCAACACAATACACTTTTATACAGATCTAAAAGGTGTCAAAATTAGTAGCTGCAAACTTGTTTCTTGCATGTGATTTTTCTTTTTTAGCTTAAAAGATTTCAGAAAATGGCTCTGAAATACGTTTGTCATCAGTTGTAATGTCAAGGATATTCAGAACAAGAAAATTCTATAATACAATAGAGTCCAGATATATTTTTTTTTTACGTTGCTGGCCTCTGTTTTGAGATTGTACAAGGTTATGTGCAAAAACTAAGTTTGTCAAAATCCATACTATAGCAGTTTCAAGCTTTTGCTAGGTAAACTAGATACAGCATTTATTACACAGCAGGGCAACACTAAAAAAGAGAAACAAATCTATTATGGGTACACAAGAACAATTTCATAAGCTTCACTTGAATAGGTCTAAAAGACTGTACAAATATACATTTCAACTATTCAGAATGATACATGAAAAAAATCAATTTTCCCATAGTCTACTATACACGTTGAACTGGTAGCTTGTATGGTTGGCCCTACACTACCATGTGAAAAAGGGTAATGTTTAAAAAGACATACAACTGAACATGTACAAGAGTGAAATAAGTGTTGAAAATGCAGATAGAAATGAACCTCTGCTTTTCTCTGTGTGCATTCTGGAGCCACCAGCTTATCCATTTTCACATTGTTACTGTGCTCATCCCAGCAGGTATTCTCAAGCAAGATTAGCCAACAGCATCCTGGAATAACTGTGGCCACAACCACCACGTGCCATGACCTAGCACTTGACAGGCAGTACCAGTTAGAAGTTAAGCTTAGCAGTCATACTGAAATGAGTGTTGAGACAGTTGTGGATTGGATCACGTTACTGCAGCTTCCAAACTGAGCAGCTTACGCTTGCTGGCTGCTCAGCTCCACACCAGTTAAGCTGCCATGCATTGGTTCTGCTACTCCATCAGTCACACTGTCAAACTGATCTCCGTCCTCACCGTCAATTGTGCTATTCTGCCATTCCATCTGCTGATTTGACAAGCTCTCCTCAATCTCTGATGCATTTTTCCATTGCGACTGGTCCTTAGGCCAAAACTCTTCTTTTCCATAGGAACGATTCTTCCACTTTGACTGTTCTTCATCACTTTCAGATTCACCCCCTTTTGTCTCAACAGCCGGTTTACTGCTACCTGCATCTTCACTTTGGGAGGATTCGTCTGTCCACACCTCTGGTTTTACTTCTGATGTATTATCTTCAGAATCAGAAACCTGCTGAGAACCAGGCCCACTTTCAGACTGTGAAGCTCCATCTTTCCATTCAACAGCATAATCCTGATCGCCTTCGCTATCTGAAACATCACCTACCAATTTTGTTGGTTCTTCAGCAGAAATAATCTCTTCGTATTTAGAGCTTTCCTCTTGTTTTTGATCAGACTTCTCTGGAGACTGTAATGTATTTTCTTCAACAATTTCCTTGGATATGCTGTCCTCCGGGTTCTCTGCTATGCTATCAGAAGAGGTTTTCCCACCCATGTCAGAAATACGCTGACCAAATGGACTACCACTTTCATGGTATTCCTCTTCTATATTTTCATAGCTGTCTGAGGAACTTTCATTGTCTTTTTCTAAGTTTATTTTTTTGTCAACAGTCTTACTAACATTGACCCTGGAATTCTTTTCATCGTGGTTTTCAAACAGCCATTCAGCATCAAAATCCATTTCATGTTTAACCTTGTTTAACTCTTTCATATTGAAACCAAGCAGCACACCGGGTTTGTATTTTTCACAATCTCTAACACATTTCTTCCTTTTGTTACTAAAATGAGATGCAATATCAGATTTCCATAACCACAAACTGGCAGCCAGCTTCTCAATCTCTCTCCTAGTGGGATATGGTTGCTTATTAAAATACTCTGTAAGAAATGTTTTCCTGGCTTCATAGGAATCATCTTCATGACCCTTGGGGTCCAATGCTAAAACTACAGGTTCCTCAGGCTTCTCCTCGAAGGCAGAGGGGGAGTCACTGTCATCCATTTTCCTTTTCTTCATTAGTGAGAACTCCATGTGTTCATAGGTACGTTTTACAGGTGCTACAGCTGGAGACTGACTTAGCCGAGATGACGAAGTGCCTTTGTCCTGGCCATTCTGAGTCTTCCCAACCCCTCTGCAGTGAACAAGGTGCAGCGTTATAGTCGAGGCAGTCATGTTACTAGTATATACACCAAGGCAATGAATGCATTTGTAGGTTAGCTTTTTCTCAACCGGGTGAACTGTCTGAATGACCTGATGCCTCTCCCGTAGGTGATGTGCAAGCGCATCAGAGATGGGTCCTTTTAAGATTGAAAAGCACAGAGGACAGAGGGTTTTCCCCACGTCTTTTTTGTAGGGAACTGCTGCTTGTGGAGAACTTTTTACAGGTACATCAGACTTTTCCTGGATTTTCGGCTGTGGTTTTGGAGGAACTGGGGGAGTATTTTGGGCATGGTAAGCTACAGATTCAGCAGGAGCATCTCTCAGGTTGTAGGTCGTTACAAGAAGATGTATATTCGTGTGACTACCCTGCTGCAATGTCAAATCAAAGGTTAGAGTGGAATCGGTTTTAGGTCCCATTTCTTCATCAACATGAACCATTCGCATATGAGCAGCCATCTTTTCAACATCGTTGAAGGTTGAACGGCAATACGGACAAGACAGACCATGTATTAACATATGATTAAGCAACGTATCAGTGGGTAAATAGCGATTACAGTATAGACATTTGCTAGTGAAATTGTGTATTTTCATGATATAGTTAGCTACTGCAGGCACCTTTTCAGCCTTGTGCTCCTTTTCAAAGTGGACACTATACACATTTTCAGGAAACAACTCATTACAGATTGTACAGATTTTCCACTTCTGTGTGGATGACGTGTTGACAGTGGAAGGACCTGTAGCAGCTACGGGAGATTTTGAGCCAGACTGACCTAATACTCTTGAAGCTGCCTGTGACTGAGATAATGACGTCTGTTTCAGCTGAGCTGATGAAAGAGAAGAGGAATTGGCAGACTGAAGAGAGTATCTTGCCGAGGCCTGTGATCTCTGTTCCCCTCCAAGAGTATAAGGCCTTCCATTGCCACTTGCTGAATACTGTTTAATTGTTTGTGATTGCTGTGGAATAGAAACTGGTGCATTACCACTCAAGTTCAGCCTTCCCCCTGGCTGGCCAACGTAACTTGGCGGTACTGATTTGACTCCATAATTGTTTTGTTGTAGGTGAACATTTGACATCATATTCACTCCCGCAGAATTTAACGTCGGCTTTGGTATAGTGAGTCTGTTCATCATCTGCTGCGACGAGAGAGATCGGACGCTTCCAGGGGAAAGGGGACCCATCCTCTGAGGGAGGCCTATAGGCTTTTTATCCTGTGGTTTTGGAGCTATTAGCATCAAAGGTTTAGATCTTGGAACCACTACATTAGTGTGGCCTATCATTGCTGTTACCTGATAGCCTATGCGTTCATGGTCTTCAATAACATGCTGTACTAAAGCTTCGTATGATTTCGGCATGAAAAGGCATCGTTTGCAGTGAATACTACCCTCCTCTCGGGTACTGGAACTTAACGGAACCGCACCATTGAGTGACTTTTCACCTCCCTTCGCTATGTAGGGAGCAGCCACATGCTGAAAATGTTCCCTGTAAATGTGCTTTCTAACTATTTCATATAGAGGATCTCGGTAAGTGCACTTCTTACAGTAATAAACAGCTTGTTCTACACTGTCAGCCTGCTTAGGTTTAAGGCTATCGTGTTTGTTTTTATCTTTAAACGTGCTGATGCCTCCACTTGGTGTATTGGCATTTGGAGCATGAAATATTTTAATGTGCGTTTCCAAAGTCTTTTTGTCTGCATTGAAAGTACAGTAAGGACAATTAAGGAGAATCCTATTTTCAAAGTCTTCGCTGTGAACATTCCGGAAGTGGCTTTTGTACGCCGAAAAGAACTTCGAGGAAAAAGGACATGCACTGCAGCAAAAAGGCTTTGTCCGGTAGTCCTTAAAGAACAAAGCAGACACTAAATATTGAAAGGCATTTTCAGAAAAACAACATCCATGATATGCTCTAAACAATAATGTTCCTAAGTGAGACTCTCCAATCCCACTGCAACAGTCTCAAACCTTCAGATTAATTTCTTCTTTCCAATTTTTGCCCTGCAGACCAGGCCCTAAAAAGCATATCATCCAAACATACACAGGATGTGGAGAGTGCTAGTTTAGAGGTCCCTCGAGAGTTTAACCATATACTCAGTATGCAAGGCTAAATCATAAGCATTTTTCTCCACCAGTCAAAAAAAGGCCTCATTCCCTGCAACTGAGCTGCATGAAGCTCACTGTAAGCTCATTTCCAGGAGGAAAGGGCAAGCATGACTGTTTGAGTAGGGTAAGACTGTATCCAGAAGATGAGTTACTTCCCATCAAAATATGCCAAACATTTACAGATATAAAATGGATCAATAACTAGATACTTCTGTGTCTTAATACATTACAAACTTTTAATATAGAAGATGCACTTCAAACTTTTTTTTGGTGAACAATGGATTTAACTTACCAACTCAGATACTAAAGCTACACAAGCCCTTAAAGCCACCCAGCTTTTTCCTTCTGATCAAAGAACAAACCTGACTTTTAAACCAATCTTGAATCAGAAAAGATATCTGAAAACACTTGCAGTTTCCCTGGCACCATTTATCTTATTTAACATGTTGCCAATGCGATTCTTGTCAACTGTTGTACAGAAACTAAAGTTACGTTGGCCTTAGAGATAGCCACAAGCAATCTAGCATTTCAGATGAGACAAGACATGAAATTCAAAGTTACAAACATTCATCATGAGTGTAAAAAAGTCTTGTGCATCAAGCTACACATAGATCATTTGAAGTTGCTGGACAGTTATGCTTTCCCTCTGCATAATAATTAGGAATATATGCTTCTGTCACCTTCTGAAGCCTCAGACACATGGTAGGCTGGAGACAAGAAACAACAGAACACGCTAAAAATCTGTCTCCTCTTCTACTACAACTTTTATTCTGGAATTAACTAGAAAGAACAACAACATCAACCAGTGAATTTTATGGAACACAGTAATAAAGGGATGGTTTTAGGTTAACACTACACTAGGAATCCATCATAATACAGGTTCCCATTTCCTGTAGGAGCAGTACTTGATCTTTCAGATGCTAAAAGAGGGCTTATTTTGTAGAGAGATGTCTCACCTTCTCACTGTTCTGTTAGTGCTGCTACTACTCAATATTGTACCACTGGTACAGGCTGCAGCAGTGGACACAACTTGCCCTAAATGTGTTTAATCACAGCCAGGTAGTATTTCCTCCTTTCAGTTCCAGCTCAATTCAAGATTCCTTTATTACTGGCTCAGAAACATCTAAAAAGTAAGACTTCCAGTGCTGTATAGAATTATATATGCTTAAATCAAATCTTTGATATAGGCTATGAGCATCTTCAGATGTGGCAGACAGCTAACAGCTACAGCAAGTGGAGAGAGCAGCATTTAGATCTGTTAAACTCCTTCTGAAATGATGGAAATGGGTAACAAAACATGTATGGGAAGGTCAGCTTATCACAAACTGTATAAAATAGTTGATCTTTTGACCAGAAGGATGGTGAAACTCTGCTAAGCCAGAAAACAGACTGGCTCTTAATATGCAGTTCTCAAAGTGTAAAATATCTTGACCTATTAGTTCTCCAGTATTTGGCGATCCATACTACTAAGACAAAGACCAGGATTATTACTTTTAGGAAAAAAAAAAAAATCATGCAGCTTTTTGCTGTCCCTTAAACTGACAACACATGAAGATCAATGGGAAGAACTGCAGGAAAAGCTCTTGTCATAATTGTGAAACGCCCTTGCGAGTGAACCATCTTCAGAATCAGATGTGTCAACAAACTATTACCAACCTGATTTTTTGTAAGCGATGGGTCCCACAATCCTACATCTTCCCATGTAGTGTTTTTCAAATAAAAGTCATTAGGTTCAAACTGCTTAAAATCCTGGAGAAGGGGAAGATGGGAAGAGAGTACATAGCGTCAAAACCAAGGACCAACTGCTCCCTTAGGCAACTCCTGCAAGCATCCATGCAGTGCTCCCGAGCACAGCTGGCAAACGGTAGGTATTCATTCCTGGAACCATGGGTGTTTGACATGCACCTCTTTGGAGAAGAGTTGTGAGGAGTCTCAGTATCACAGGACATCCACAGAACTATTGCAATACTCACCCTTTTAATTAATCCATACCTGTAATTAAATACCTGCCCTTTCAAAAGCAGTCATGGAAAAACATATTCCCAGGCTAATGCTAAATACTTATCATGTAGATCCTTCACCATAACTATGATGGTGGTTTTTTTGTTTGGTTTTGTTGGTAGTGGTGTTTTTTGGGAGGCTTTTTCATTAGTTTGGGTTGTGGGTTTAGTTGTTTGGGTTTTTTTGCTTGTTTGTGGGGGAGGGGGTGAAGGAATTTTTTTGTGTTTGTTGGATTTTTTGGTTTTGTTGGGGTTTCTGTTGGTTGCTTTTTGAGGGTTTATTCAGTTTTTTTTTTTATTACTTTAATTTCAAATAGAAGTTTTAAAAGTTTGACTACATGTTTGAAAACTTCAGAACCATCTTCTGTCCCCAGGAACATCCTAGACCACACCGAGTTCTTGTTTCATTCCTAAATGTTCAGCTAGCATGTGCTATTTTTAAGAATCCAACATAAACAAAAGACAACCTACCTTCAGTATATATCAAGTCAGTCACATAGAGCCTGAAGTGTATCTTGTCTCCAATAAACTTTCTTAAAAGCATTTACAGGTACATTTTATCTCATGTTAACAAGTCCTACTTTGTGTAGAACTTAATAAGCAATGCAGGAGTAGCAATGCCTGAACAAGGCTCAGATGGAATCCCAGCATCATTATCAGAAGCTGATTGATGAGAACAGAAGTATGGTGTGGGAACAAGACACAGGGGAACCCTTCAAAGTTCACAGTAAAAATTTAACTTTTTGTGAAACAGGTCTAAAAAAAAAGATAATGTTATACACCAAAGACCTCACAGTCCCAATAACTTTGGCACATTTTAACTCTAGCTACAACACTTTGCAGGTATCATACTTACTTCTATATGTTCTTTACAGTATTCCAAACCAATGTCACTAAGTATTTTTTTCACAGTTTTCCGGGCCTTTCTTAAACTGCCAAGGTTGTTGACAGGAAGTTGGAACATAGTTTCTATTGAAAAAGAAAGAGAAAATATTTAAGTCAAATGTTTTTTGTCTGATAGCGTGTTGCACTTTGAATAGTTAGTAGTATGCCATCTCATTTTACCCACATAACTCAGTATCAGAGCTGTATCATTAACTAAGAATCTACCACATTTTCTGCCTAATTTGTTTTTAAATGAGGCTGGCCATAAAGCTAGATATTGACAAACTTAAAGCACTTAAAAAAAACTACAAACTGATGTAACAACAACTGCAGGAGTAATCAGCTGCATCTGAAAATAGTTTTTTTTTAAAAAAAAGGTTTGCATTGACATGAAATTTACCTCCTATGCTGAAGTACTTAAAAACTCCATTTATTTTATGTGCATACATATCCTAATTGATTTGAAAATTGTTAAGCTGAGGGTTTGTGTCAGTCTTGGAAGAGATTTAATAGTATCTCCTCAGTGAGAAACTTGCTTCTTGCATTCAAATCTCCTCAGTGAGAAACTTGCTTCTTGCATTCAACTGTAGGTAGGATAAAAAAATTAATACTGTCTCCTCTGGGTACTGTATTTATAGCTTTAAATGTCTGACAAGCTGTTTAGCATACATTCTTCTTTAATATTAAGATGGGACATGAAAGCTTGCTTAGAGCCCTTCAGAGATATAAATCACTGGAAAGAGCACAAGAGGTGGCTTAACACCTCTAAGAGTAGCTGGGTATTTTCAACATACCATACTCTTTCAGCTCCCCACTCAGAGCTAACTTCAATTAAACTGTCTGCTAATCACTGGGGCTACACAGCTAAAAGAAAGTTTAAAATTAAGGTATGCGAGTTCTCAGATTCAACCACTACCAACAAGATTTCTTCCCAAACACTAATAACTAGCATTACTTTGTGTATACAGGTTTTCTTGGCCTGCATGCTGTTATCCTTAAGGTAGACTCTTGCTCTGCTACAGAACCATTGACTCATCTTCACTTTAAGAAGGTGCAAAGTGGCAGAAAGGTGAAAGTCCCTGACAAACAGTTATTCTGGAAGTGAAGAGGAGTAAAGCAAGCAATGAAAAGGTAGGCTTTTCTCAAAGAAAAAGGGAGGAAGCTTCTTAAATAGCAAGAAAGTGTCAGAATTGTTACCTTGTTGTCTAAGCTTTAATGGTTGGATGCCTAAAGAATATCACCCTAGAAGATAAAAGCTGTGCTGTTGATCTTTAATATTTACGTGAGCCAATTCAGAAATGTTGCTGTGTTTGAACACTAAAAGGTTTGATTTGTATCAACAAGTTAATCAACTGCAAGGCTAAAGTCTACCTACTTAAGAAAAAATGGACTTTTTTGATAGAAGCTTGAAAGTACTTTTTAACGCTTCCAAACAGAAGCCCTGAATGCAGAGCTCACAGAAGTTTGCAGCCATTAAATACTTCCGTTAGACAAAAATTCTCCCACATTACCATGAGATCAAGGGCCATTGCTAAGCTACGAAGAGCTTACTAAGGAATTTTCTCAAGGTACAAAGTGTGTAGGTTCTGACTACAACAACAGAGTGTCTCAGAGCAAACCAACCCTTCTATACATACTACCCTGCATACTCCTTCAAGTATTACTTGTCTGTTTACACACTAGCCTCTTTATTTTCACACTCCTACCAATTTTACTAGGTAATGCTGTAAGGCAGTCACTAACAACTTCCTATTCTACGATTCCCAACAATACCCTAAGTTTCAGAAATAACCAAAACGGAAAAGTTCTGCATGTAACAGTGCTAAGACAAACCAATCAGTGCCTCGGTCTGCAAGTAGTGTTGCTAGGCTCTAGTCTCTTCAAATTCAGTGAACACAGAAATTGCTCCTGCCTAAGAGCAAAAAGCTATCATGATATTTAGAATTCACATCAGAACTATAAATTAAAAACTACATGGAAGCAAGCCTGAGTTTATATAAAGATCTTCAGGAAGATTTTCAGAAGTACCCAAGCAACTCTGATGATTAAGGATTTTGGTACTTGTATCAGGCTGGCCACAGCCACAGTTTAACAGAAGCAAATGTAGCATCATTTTATCAGCACTATATGAAAACTAGGAAACCAAAGAAATAAAATAGTTTAAACCTTGTCTATAAATCTCAGGGATTCCAAGTTACTCAGAGTATTTGCAATAATGAAATTACTTAAACACAGCACACAAAGTGACTAACTATACTAATCATCAAACAACATAGACCAGAAAAAGTATTTCAATGTTCTGTATTAATCTGCTCCAAGTAACACTTAAGAGAATCTGGTATTATTAAAACCATCTTGATTTCTTCTCACTCTAAATGCAAGTATATTCATTTATGTGACTGTAGAGTTTTTTCAGCTAACTGCAGTCTCAGTGAAAATAATTATAGACTTGGAAAAAAACTAGAATTAAGTTCATATGAAAAGTAGCTATATTCTGTATTGTATCTGGCACCTTCTGTTTTAGGGAAACTCACTCACTTTAGAAATATGAAGAACTGGCATTCTAGTGAAACACCTTATAGGTAGATTCACTTAAAAGTCCCACAATACGGACCCTAACCAGGCTGCAAAGAACACTTCTACAGGCATGCTTTGGGTCTGGAGAAGACAAGGAGTAACTGCTAAGGATTAACTACTTCATCCTGGCAGTAAACAACTCTCTTGTCAGTTATTCCCCTTGCCCTAAAGCCTCTAGTGACTTTGTATGGGAAATCATTAACTGCACTTTTTTTATGCCATATTCATTCTCATCTGTACTCCAATCAAATATTTCACCTGAAACTCCAAGCAGTATCCAGGTCTAAGACATTATCCCTGTCTATGTAAGAGGCAATGGGATCATTCAGGTAACAGTGATTCATGTCATCCTTCCACAATGCTACTCACTCCTGCTCAGTCAATTATTTTTAATCCTCATAAAGGACTAGGAAATAAGGTTTGAATCTGAGTTTCTAACTTCTTGTTACCTTGAAAACTGACTTGGACAAATCACTTATTTTATAAAAATCTGCACTCAAGCTTATGGTTCCTTTATCAGATTTTATGATCAAATTCTGAATTTATCCATATCCCTTTCCTCTTTCTTATGTGTAAGAGCTATTTCTAAAGGCACACATTGTAGAGAAGCATACAAAAAAAACCTTTCAATGTACATAAGATTTTATGACTCTGTACTGTGTACTAGGCTTTGATTAATTAACTACAGAACGTGCCAAGTTCCGCCCTGCTTTTCTACCCGTCCTTGCCCATGCTGTGGTATCAGCTGTACTGTTTAAGCTCCTCTGGGCAGAGGCTGCATCCTGTTATTTGTACTATTACTTCGCATGCTTTGTGGATAAAGTAAAAATAATACCATTTATGTTAAAGTATAAGCACATAAATGGTGGAGAAGCTTTTGAAAACAGTAATGGACGTTTACCTTGCAAATGGGAATTAGTATTTAGAAATTTTATTAAGACTACGAAGAGTACATTTAAGTATTCCAGGGCAATATTACAATTAGTTTAGTTACTTCAACAAATGGAACTAAAATCTCCTTAACTAAAATTATTATTTGAAGTTTGCAGGTTTGCTTCAATTGTAAAAACAATGTCTCATATATCTTAAAGTTTAGTCAGGTCTGTTTTTGAAGATATAAATAGTAATTGAAAATATTTAACAACAGGGCTGAGGATCAGCAATGCCAATTTTGTGAAGTACTAGTAACAGATTAGCTAAAAACATGGACAAGATTAATGGGTAAAAATGCTGTTGCCTAAGACTTTCGACTCTTAACTAGCCTATTGATTAATGCCAATGGTTTATTAAGGTTGTGTCCTATTTGTAGTTTCCAAGTAGCACCTTTTGTCTATTTTTTGATCTGTAGTTGAAATAAGTGAAGCTTAACGATTCCAAATGGAAAAAAAGCAGCTCCAACCTGTAGTTTATTCTAGGCTAGTCACTATGAAATAGCTTTCAATGCTGAGCCCACTGTCACTTTTTTAATGACTTACAACAGATCTGACTTGTGTGATACTAGAACTGCATTAATAGGAAAACAAAAAGTACCACACAGTGCACAGAGTGGATGTATATCCTTAACCTCAGATCACAAATTCAGCAGAAAATATGCTTCCTTAACATTGTATTCCCTCTCTTCCTTACACAGAACTGGGAAGTAAGGCTCTGAACACTACATTACAATAAAGTAACACAAGTTTGGTTTCCAAGCACAGCATTTTTTTTTTTTTTTTTTAAAAAAAAACTCAAGAACATCAATTTCATTAAAGTTCTTGCTGCTGCAGAGCCAGAGTGAAAAATATTAATGTATCCAAGAAATTAATCATGGCTCCACTAATTCCTTTGCTCTAAAGGCAGCTGAATAAGCATCGCTCTCACTTTTTAGCACTGGTTCAGTAATGTTTTCAGTAGCTTCTTCATAGCTACCTGTTTGCTCAATTTATTTAATAAAAAAACTACATGAAGCAGCACAGTCAAGTATGTTCAGGATTTGAATTAATATTTTCAATTGAACTTCAAATCCAAGGAAATAATGTACTAGTAATTTTATTCTAGAATAATCCAAGTTATTAATATCAACTGTAAAGCATCAGTGTATGAAAACATTACACTTTACAGCTTCTAGCAAGCTGTGCCATTTTCTTTGAAACCAAAGTCCTCTCTTAAAGAATCATACTCATTTGGCTTGTAAAAAAAAACATTTTCTTTCCTTATGACAAAGCAAGAGTCAGTACAGAGTTTGTCTTTAGGCAATAATCACTTATAAACTTGGAAGTCAGACAAGTCTCAAAATAATGCTTATTATCAAATAGCTTATTTTAGTAACAAATGCACTAACAACTTCTTCACCAAAATAATCAAATGCTTTCTACTTATTACTGTGTCTAATATACCTAGACATGCCAAATACACCATGATAAAGATAAAAATACACCATAATAAAGAAAGCAAATTATTTAGGACTGCCTGAAAACAAGATCTATCTATCTGCAACACCTACTTGCCTCTGCCCTTCTGCCTGTCTC